TATATTGATGTACTTTGCGGTGGTCCAGTCTATTGATATATCCATGTGTATTTTCTAGTTGTAGTTCTATAGCATTACTGGTTACTATTTCTGTGAACCGCTGTAAAATGTGATGGCCACCAGCTTGAATGGTCTTGTTTACCTTAAGTTCCGATTTTTTTAGGGATGTACCCTGAAAATGTTTCTGACGGACTTCAACATTGATCCCTTGATGATGTGGGAGAGCCTAGCTCCTGACAGTCTCAGTTAGAGAGCAGCAGCCGCAGCGGGCAGTGAATCATAATATGGGGAATCGTAATATGAGGCTCCATGAATAAGAAATGCTAAAGCCAAGAGAGAAGCCTGCAAGCCATTCACATCCTCGAGGGGAAATGAAGCTTTTGAATGCTCAAAATGTGGCAAACTCTTTTCTGCTAAAACTTTTCACGTTTGCCACAGTTTAAGTCAGAGGCCATCTTCCTCCTCCTTATTTCTTCTACTTTTCTCTTACAAATATTCCTCTGCAGACACATTGACTATTGAAAGACCAACTACTGATTGTACGTGGCTGGGTCATTTTGAGGTCAGATTGATGGAGTCTGTGCTATGTTGTGTTACATTTTCATCTGATGTTTACGTTACTATAATCAGTGTTGAGAGAGAGGTTATTCAAGTGCTTGTGGTTAGCCCTCACAGAATATCCAGAAGATGGCGTCTGAAGAAATATTCCAGGTGGCAGGGAAGAATGGCTGGATGTGTTTCAGGCTCAGGCTTTGTCATGGCAACAAGGAGTGGGTGTTTTTACTGGAGTTTTTCTTCTTGTTTTGTAACCTCAGCCGTGGGTTATGGTTATGGGATTTTTTAGCTTGTGTAGTTAAGTAATGTGATGTGTATGAGTCAATATGACTGTGTGTGTGTATGTAAGTCTATACATTAATATTTATAGCTACACGTGTGTGTGTGTGTGTGCATGCGTGTGTGTGTGTGTGTGTGTGCATGCGTGTGTGTGTGTGAAAGAAAGAGAGAGAGAGAGAGAGAGAGAGCAGCTAAAATACATTGTATTGGCTGTTTTTTAACTTTATAATGTTGTTTTCAAACTTTGTTACCTCCCCTGGGCGGACCAATCTTCCTCTGTCTGTGATCATGAAGTCGACCAGATGGTAACGTGCCAGTTGTTCTCATTTGTGAAAATCACAAACTGCTTTGATGAAGGTTTGCATTTAGAAAGTATCATCTTGACAAATTTTTTTCCCCCTCTTTTCTTTTGTGCTCCCTTTTTGTGAGAAAGTTGGTTGGTGGAAGTTTGGTTTGTTGAGATTCTGGTTTGGGGGCAGCAGCAGTGTGAGTTCTTCCTCTGTGCAGATCTTTGAATGTCTGCCTCTCTGGCTTTTCCCAGCACTGTTATCTTGTAATTGTAGATTTTCTTCTCCTTGTCTCAGAGCTCAGAGTGAATCGATCAGAACACTTAGATCAGGGGGTCACGTGGACAGAACAAATGTCATTTACGAGTTGAGGGAAGGAGCAAGGCAGACAGAGAGGAACACCAGAGAGATAGATGTAACAGTAACAATGTAAGAAGAGACACCAGCAACTTGGGTTTTGTGACCAGGGGCTTTGCTGTCGCAGGCAGAAGGCCTGAGTTGGATTCCTGAGTTGGGAACATTGTTATCAAGTAGGCCCTGTCTGTGTCGCTCTGTGGGGACGTCCCTCTCAGCCTGGGTTTTCCCTGGCAGTAGAGACATGCAGGGGCGGAAGCTAGCCTCCTAAATTATCTAAATTAG